TCACTATTGGAAATGGCACCTCTATCCCTATCAATCACACTGGTAAAGGACTTTTACCCACTCCACACCATTCATTTCAACTTAACAATATTCTTCATTCATTTTCTATTTCTTCCAATCTTGTCTCTGTTCAAAAGTTAGCTCAGGATAATCATTGCATCATAACATTTGATGATTCTAACTTTGTGATTTAGGACAAACTTACAAAGAAAGTTCTTCACAAGAGATGTAACATCAATGGACTTTACCATTTCGTTCCATCACCTATTTCTTTATTTGTTGTTTCTCTATTTTGTTCCCAAGCTTTTGTTACTAGTACTTATTGATCTACTTCTGTTACACCTACTATTTGGCATAATAGACTAGGTCATCCTTCCTCTTTAAAACTTCATCATCTCAAACATCATTTGCATCTTAAATCTATAACTCATGCTACTCAAGATTGTGTAGATTGTTGTGTTGCTAAAAGTCATAGACTTTCTTTTCATTTGTCAAATTCAAGTATAAATAAGCCTCTTTCACTCATTCATAGTGATGTTTCGGACCCTTTCCATTCTTCTTCTACTTACAAATACTATGTGATTTTTGTGGATGAATATAATAAGTTTACTTGGTTGTATCCTCTAGTCCACAAAAGTGAGGTCTATGACAAATTCTTGGAACTCAAAGCTTATGCTAAGAAACAATTTGATATTGTTTTAAAAACACTTTGCACTGATGGAGGAACTCATGGCATTATTCACCAAAATTCTTGCCCATGCACTCCACCACAAAACGGCACTGCTGAAAGAAAACATAGGTATATCACAGAGACAGCAGATGCATTGCTTCATCATTCCTCCATGCCTCTTGAATCCTGGTTTGAAGCAGTTACTGCTGCCACTTACTTGATTAACAGACTTCTTTCTACTCAACTGCAGCACCAATCTCCTTTTGAAGTCTTATTTCATCACCCTCCGAACTACTCTTTTCTCAGGGTCTTTGGTTGTCTTTGTTATCCTTGGCTTCAGCCTTATTCCTTTACTAAACTCCATCATAAGTCTCTACCTTGTGTCTTTCATGGTTATCATCCCTTTGCTAAGGGGCACAGGTGTCTTGATTCCAGTTCTGGCAGGATTTATCTTTCTAGACATGTCATTTTCAATGAATCTACATTTCCTTTTAACCAAGTGTCCTCTACCTCTTCTTCTCTTTCATTACCTCAAATTTAATCTTTCTTTTAGTCCACTATCCCTACTCCATCTTCTTCTCCATCTGTTTCTTCATTACATGGCCAGTCTAATTCTCCTCGACATTCTCATTCTTCTTCTTCTTCTCCTACAACTATTCCTTCTCCTTCTGTTTCTCCCATTATTGCTTATTCTTTTCCTCAGCAGCAGACTGTTATTCAGCCCAATTGTGTTCTTTCTTCTTCCTCTATTTCTATTAACTCTATCTTAGTCCACTTACCATTGCTCCCACTTGTAACTACAAATGTTCATCCCATGATCACTAGGTCTAAAATCTCCTCTCAATGTTTACTTCACACCAAGCCATCTCCTGTTGGGTACTCAAATTCTGAACCTCCATCCCATAAGGAAGCTTTTCTTTCTCCTATTTGGCATAAGGTTATTCCATCATCAGTGGCCCTTGAAGCAATTGGATATATCCAATGCCTTCCTTCATAGAGTTCTTGAAAAGGAAGTGTTTATGCTCCAACCACTAGGGTTTGTTCATCTCACTCAACCTAATCATGTTTGTCATCTCAAGAAAGCCTTATATGGCTTGAAACAGGCACCCAGGGCTTGGTACTCTACATTTTCAGCCTATCTTTTCTCTCAAGGTTTCCATAATGGCAAATGTGACTCTTCTTTGTTCATCCAAAAATCTAGCACTACTTTCACTGCTCTTTTGGTCTAGGTGGATGACATTTTAGTCACAGGGAATGATGTTTCTTACATTCAATCACTTATCTCTCATATGCACACTGCTTTTTCTATAAAAGAGCTTGGTGATTTGTCATATTTTTTGGGTATTTCCATCACACCAACTTCCACTGGCTATGTTTTGTCTCAAAAGAAATATGCTCAGGATATTCTTCATAAGATAGGTTTAGCTGATTGTAAACCTTGTCCATCTCCTATATCAATTAAACCTTCCATTGCCCCTGATTCAACAGAATTGTGTCCTAATCCTACTCTCTATCGAAGCCTAGTTGGTGCTCTTCAATATCTCACCATAACTCATCCAAATATCTCTTCGGCAGTCAATCACTTTTGCCAACATATGCATTCTCCCATAGTTGGTCATTTTGCTGAAGTCAAAAGACTACTACGTTTAGTTAAGGGTACCATTGGACATGGTTTGACCTATTCTCCAAGTTCTTTTGATATTCATGCCTACTCAGATTCTAATTGGGCTGGAGATGTTTCAGACAGAAAATCTACCTCAGATTATTGTATATTTTTGGGCTCTAAACTTGTGTCTTGGTCAACCAAAAAGTAAGCTACAGTCTCTCGTTCTTCCATTGAAGCAGAGTATAGATCTCTTGCTCATACTGTTGCAGAATTGGCATGGATTGGCACGGTCCTTACTGACTTATCTATTTCTTCCCCTGTGCCTCCCACTCTCTGGTGTGACAATGTCTCTGCTATTGCTTTGGCATGCAATCCAGTCTTTCATTCCAGGTCTAAACACATTGAAGTGGACTGCCACTTTGTTCGAGATCAAGTTCTTGCTAAAAGGCTGGTTCTTAAGTATATTCCAACTATTGACTAGTTGGTTGATATCTTCACTAAACCTCTCTCTGTCTCCAGATTTTTGTATCTCAAAGACAAGCTCATGGAGTTCACTCACCCCATTAGCTTGAAGGGGAATGTTGAGGATATTCCATCAAAGCCATCAAAGCCTAAGCATAGCTCATAGCTCAGCTCATGTTCTGGTTCAGTGATTAAGCCGAGCTGCAGCTCAGTCTATGTGACTGCATCAGCTTAAACAGATATTAGTTAGATAGTTTGTTAGTTTGTTAAACAGTTACAAGTGACAAGTAATTAGCAAATGTGGTTTAGATACAGATCTCTTGTATACGTGTAGGTATAGCTATATATATAAGGATTGCTTGTACATTCAATGTATGGAATAAGAAATTCATCTTTTCTTCATACACTAATGTCTATATTAGTAATTTTGTTTAAGGGAAAAATTGTAATAAAAATATTTTTCATTAAGTGTGTGCATAGAATGGAAATGGTAGGGCCAGCTCAAGGAGGTTGCAAATGATGCACCTGCTTTAGGCCTTAGTATAACAAAAGGCCTCAATTTTGAGTTGAAATCTTATAGGTAAAATTAAAAAAAAGAAAAAATAAAGAAAAAATAAACAAAGAATGTAGCTTTTCCAAACTAAAATAAGATTAACAAATTTTCTATCACCTCTATACTCATGTGAGACCACATTCATATGTGTAATTGGTATAAAAAAAATAATAAAAAAAAAATAGTGATTTAGTAGAGATCCCTATCATTTGTGTACCATGAAAAGTCTATTTCCCACTCTCTCAAACTCATAAATTAAGAATATAAAATTTAGTTGAAATCAAATATTCTTCTGAATAATTTCATTCAGTAGATATTAATAAAACTAAATTTAATGATACAACGTATGAACACAGCATGATAATATAAAATAATAAACGGATTGGATTAGAGCATCTTCAATCATTCACCAAATCCTGCATAAAATTTAAATTTGAAAAAAAAAATTTGGTAAAACAGAGGTCCAATTCTTTCATCAAACTTGTATTCTTTCATCTCTAGTAAAAGTTTATTTCATATGTTATTGACCCTAGGAAAAACAAAGAAACAAAACAAAACAAAAACAGCCAGACTTTAATTTTTTTTGCGGTAGGCGACACATGTGGTTGAGCTGACCAGGAGAAATGATGTGTAAAAATAGAAACTCTCTTCAATTTCACTTGTTTTATTTATTTATCTTTTTTGGTATCGGTATATGCATTTTGATGTATACTAAAGTTATTGGATAACTTACATATGTTGAGTTGATTATACTCTTATAAGTGTCTCTTCAAACGTTAAGTTTAAGGGCTCACTGCTACAAAATGGGGCTTAAGATACAGAATTTTTTGCGACTGTTTAAAAATCATCGCCAAAAATAGGCATTTGCGGTGGTAAAAAAAGCCGTCGCAAAATTATTTTTTTTTTTGCGACGACAAGTGACTGTCACCAAAAAAGGCACCGAATAAATACTATTATTAGAAATGAATAACCCGAAATCATTGCAAAAGGTTTTATTTTTTTGGCCTTTTTGTTAATTTGTGACGGCCTTTCATAAGCGGTCCCGAACCGAGGCACACGGCCTGACGGCTCCGAAAACCGGGAACCGGGCTCTGAAATGGGTTTCGCACCCGTCCCTAATATTTTAGTCTTTTCTCTCATGCCCGTTATAATTTCACTTTGTCTCCCTCATGCCCAACCCTCGCTCTCTTTGATTATTAAAATATGCAAAAACTAAAGAAGATGTGAAGAAATATTTAAATCTTCTTATAAATGTTTAATTTTTTTTAGTAATTTTTTAATTTTTTTATTATTTTAACCTATGCCAATGACTCCAAAACGAGACAAACTATTTAGGGAAAATTACCATTCACTATTCAGTGGTAATTTATAATATTTATTATATTTTTGTTTTCTGACAACCACTGCTATGTTATTTACCAACCATTTAAAGGAGCTATATCTCTCACAACAAGAAACTATGTCAAAGAAATGAAAAGAGTGTTGTGATCACACTTCCAACACCAAGAACCCAAAAACAAAACAAGTAATAAACTAAGCCTTTTCCCACAACTCATGCTAACCATCCTTGGCACCAAATTGTCTCCAACAAGAAGTTTCATCTCCCATTTATACTCTTCAAGCTTCATCATCATCACACAACACTACATCATCATCAAGTTTGTTTTCACCATTATTTCAAGACTTCATTTTCTTAATTAAGCCAAGCCATGTCTAAGACTAATGGTACTAATGGTGCTTCCAAGCTGGAGTGTCCTTCTCCGGCAAGGTGTAAGCGTGTTCCGACGCCAGGGAAGGCAACTATTCTTGCAATGGGGAAAGCATTCCCTAGCCAACTCATTCCTCAGGATTGTTTAGTAGAAGGATACATTCGTGACACAAAATGTGAAGACTTGTCCATTAAGGAGAAGTTGGAACGCCTGTGTAAGTCAAAATTAATCCTCCTTCTATCAATGCTCCTTCCACAAAGCTATATTTGCATCATGAATTTGAATAGAAATTTAGAAATATTTTTCCTTTATTCTTTTAAATCCATACTCAAATCCATTATTCAAATATGAGAGTTTTAGAGACAAAAATTTAGAGACAAATTAAATTAGGTTTTAGGGATGAAATATTTTGGTTGCTAAAAGTGTTATTGTTGTATTTTTAATTACGAAATTGAATATTTAGTAATGAATTACTATTCTTTTGGGACTATAATTTTTATCTTAGAAAATAAATATTTTTGACACTAAATTATTTTGTTCCTAAAAAATAGCAACATTTTCAAAATTTTGTCGTTAAGAGTTGTTTTTTATTTTTCAAAACGATCTATTGGCAACAACCCTCGGGATGATGTAAATTGGTCCCAAAATGTTCTTTGCAACAAAATTTTTATTTTGTGAAGACAAGAGAAATTGGTCCCTAAAGCATATTTTATGGTGTGATGTGTGTTAGAAGTCATTTTTGGTTGAACCTACTTGTAGGCTCTTCATATCTTTCTCTATTTTTTTGCTAGGTAAAACAACTACTGTGAAGACTAGATACACAGTGATGTCCAAGGAGATCTTAAACAAATACCCAGAACTGGCAACAGAAGGCTCACCAACCATCCAACAAAGGCTTGAAATAGCCAACCCTGCTGTCCTAGAAATGGCCATGGAAGCAAGCCTTGCTTGTATCAAAGAGTGGGGAAGACCAGCACAAGATATCACCCACATTGTTTATGTTTCTTCGAGCGAAATCCGATTACCAGGTAGGCCTGTCAACGAATTGGATTCTGATCAAATTCGGTAGAATCTTTGGTAGAATACAATCTAATCTGATTAGACATTGTAACATATCATTCTTAAATTTATTTATTTTTTTAATCAGCAAAAAGGAAACTTTATTGATAAAGAAGGTAAAATACAAGTAAAACTTACAACAATAAAAGGAAGTGCACCGAGCATCATAACTAAATTGAACAATCCCAACACACCATTCTTAAATGCCAAACACAACTATAATAAAACAAAGGCTAATGATATACAAACAAAAAAATTTATTCAAAATTCACATATAATCTGATATGGCTTTTATGATCATTTCATTTTAAATTGAAAATTTGCTATTTATATAGAATTTTTATATAGAATTTGTTTTTAGACTGTTATGATAATAATATTTTGTAATTAAATGTCATTTAAGGTCTCATTTGTCAATTATACATTTTAGTCAAAGATTATTATAAGTTGTCACGTCACTCTCTCTACTTTTTTGCACATCTTTTCATAAAAAGTTAAAAAATTATTAAAATAGTATATTCTCAAACGAGATCTAAATAGATATTTTATTTTAAAATGATAAGTCCCATTGCACCCATATATATATAAATTTTATGTGCATATTACTATATGAAACTAAAAATCTATCATTGTGACTTATAATTTGAAAAATGTAATTTTGCTTGTTAATCAAAAAATAATTACACATAATCTCATTTCATACCTAAATACAAGTCGATAGACTTATATTAATAAATACATATGTAATTCACTTAGTTGTGTCTAGAAATGAAATAAGAGATTAACAAAAAGAGACAAAAAAATAAAATTATTTTTTTCAAAAAAAAATAAAGCAACTCAACTCTAACCATTGGAAATTGATAGACATTTCGCATTTGTACTCGCATTAAAAACACAAAAATAATAAAATAAAATCATGGCACAAGGTATTATCCATGTGTTTCAACTAGATTCATTAAAAAAATATTTCTAATTCAATAGAGCTTCCTCAAACACAACACTCTGTTTGGTTTTTTTGAATTTTCAATTCGATTGTTTTATTTTTAGTGAACTTACTTTTTAGATCTACTTAATTTAAATAAATTTAAAAAGTATAAAATTTATTTTAAAAAATTAAATTTTCACTAAATACAAAAAAAAAAAAAATTATAGTTATTAAATTATTGAAAAAAAAAGTTATAAGTAATTTAATTTTTAAATATATTTAAATTAAGTGGATCTATAAATTTAAAAAAAAAATTAATCATATATTAAAAAAATTCACTAAAAACCAAAAAAAAAATAATGCAAATTGCAAAATTCAAAAAACAATTTTTAAAATGCCTTGTTTGGGAAGTAGGTTGGCTTTTTAGCTTTTTGGCTTTTTTGGCTATTTTAGCCTTGGCTAAAAAGCTTGGTTTGGGAAGGGCTTTTTGGCTTTTTGATAAACATAAAAAAATAAAAAAATAAAAATATCGGTTAGTTTAGGTTATTTTATTCTATACTTTAGTCTCTTTTGTAGTTTAGTTCTTTTATAGTTTAGTTTAGTTTATTTAATGTCATTTTTATTCATTTATTTAATTCTTTTCGTTTTTATATAAATAAATACAAAAAAAAAAAAAATTTTAGTTATTAAATTATTGAAAAAAAAAGTTATAAGTAATTTAATTTTTAAATATATTTAAATTAAGTGGATCTATAAATTTAAAAAAAAAATTAATCATATATTAAAAAAAATCACTAAAAGGCAGGGCTTCTCTCCAATCGGTGATTGGACTAGAGAGTATTGTTGAGCCCGCAGTGGCCTGCTATAGGTCCCTTTTCGATAATCCAAACCATTAAATGTGTAGAACTCATCGAGTACTATATGCTTACACAAAATCACATTAATCGGATATCGATAGTTATCTCATCGGATCAGATTTCTGTCAACCTTTTATTTTTTTACCATCCATTTTTTTTTACAAAACTGATTTGATCACGTAATTATCGATATCCGATCAACATGATTTTTTACGAACATATAGTACTCAACGAATTCTACTCATTAAGAATTCAGATTATCAAAACGGGACCCGTGTTAGTCCAAACAGTATCCTCCAGTGACGGAAGGGAAGCCATCCCCTTCACTAAATCCCCAAAAAAATGCAAATTACAAATTCAAAAAACAGTTTTTAAAACTCAATACCAAACATTTTGCAACTGTCATCTCACAATCTTCCTGTGCATGAACCCTTCCAGGTGGTGACCTCTACCTCGCCACCCAACTCGGCCTGAGATCCGACGTAGGCCGTGTAATGCTCTACTTCTTAGGCTGTTACGGCGGCGTCACTGGCCTCCGTGTCGCCAAAGACATCACTGAAAACAATCCAGGAAGTAGAGTCCTCATAACAACCTCAGAAACCACAATTCTCGGTTTCCGACCCCCCAACAAGGCCCGCCCCTACGATCTGGTCGGCGCCGCCCTTTTTGGCGACGGAGCTGCCGCCGCAATAGTCGGCACCGACCCATTCCTCGGCACAGAATCCCCCTTCATGGAGCTAAACTACGCAGTTCAGCAGTTCTTGCCGGGGACCCACAATGTGATCGACGGTCGACTTTCGGAGGAGGGCATAAACTTCAAGCTAGGGAGAGAACTTCCTCAGAAGATTGAAGACAACATTGAGGAGTTCTGCAAAAAGATCGTAGTGGAAAAAGGTGGTTTGGGTTTGAGTGATTTTAATGAGCTGTTTTGGGCTGTTCACCCGGGTGGACCGGCTATACTGAACCGGTTAGAGAGTACTTTGAAGTTGAGGAGTGAGAAGCTAGAGTGTAGTAGGAGGGCATTGATGGATTTTGGGAATGTTAGTAGTAATACTATATTTTATGTTATGGAGTATGTAAGAGAGGAGTTGAGGAAAAAAGAGGGTGGAGAAGAGTGGGGACTTGCTTTGGCATTTGGACCAGGGATTACTTTTGAAGGGATACTCATTCGTAGCCTTTGATGAGTGGGTGAGTTGAGAGACTTATGTTTGTTTGATTTATAAGTCTTTATTAGTTTTCATGGACTTTCTTTTGTTTTTAGGAAGTAATTTGCATTTCAAGTTTGTGATGAATTGGATTCAAAGATTTTATGATATGGAAAAATGCAAAATGAGAAATGAAATTTATAAAGAATCTTTATATAAAATGATGTGCTGAATACTAGTGTTTTACTTTTGTTCATTTATTATATTATGAATCTAAAATATATATATATATATATATATGAATCTAAAAAAGATAGTAGTGTATTATATATTTTGTGATTTAAAAATATATATTATAATTTTATTTTTGAATTATAAATTATCATAAATTTATTATAAAATTACATAACATTTATCATAAAATATGTAATATGTATAAAAAAAAATTTAACAAAGAACATATAGTATACACCCGAAGGGATTCCAATGAAAATATGTAATATGTATAAAAAAAAATTTAACGAAGAACATATAGTATACACCCAAATGGATTCCAATGAAAATCTCCATTCATATGGGGGTGTTTGGAAAGGAGCTTTTTTGGCTTTTTTGGTTAAAATAGTATTAAAATACAAAATAGATTAAAATAGCTAATAAGATAAAATGTCACATCAAATCCATAATCACTTCACTTTTTCTCTCACAAATATCACATCAACTATAAAAAAAATCCAACTATATTTTCAAATACAAAAATTTTAACCCTCTAAAATAACAAAAACTAAAATAGACTGCTAAACACCCACTAGTATCATGTGATGACTAAAACATTACTGTTGCAAAAGAAGCCAAAAAATGCGGCAGAAAAAAAAAATTCAAGATAGAAATTAATTTCAAAAAAATAAATATTAAAAAATTATTTTTTATTTTTAATAATTATTTTTGACTTCTCAAAAGATAAAATAATGTAAAAATGATGAGCATTTTTTATTTTCTTACTTCTTTTACTAAAGTAACTTCTAATTTTTTCTGAAACAAGTTCATCAAAACCAAAGCATCCCCCAATGATGTGGCTGAGCATTTCATGAAGATACACCTACAATCTTCTTTCTCACAAATTTTATTTTTTCATCAATATGGGGTGATATTGAAGGAACTCAATTAGGACATGTAGCAAGATTATGAAAAAAACCAAAAAGAGTGATACAGTAACTTGTACTAATATTTTTTCTTTAAAAAAATGAAGTTAAAAACAAAAAAAGAAAAATTGAGCAAGTTATTACCAAAATAATGACGTTATCCAACCCAGGAAGATGGCCTAGTGGAGGCATGGAATTTGGTGGAGGCTTTTCCTAAATTAAGTCAAATTAGTAATTTAATTTTTAAATTAAGTTTAGTTTGGATGGATTTTTAAACTAAGTTAAAGTGCTATTACAAACCACGCTTTCAATGTTTCTAGGACCCTCCCGTGAAAAATTTGTGAAATAGTAAAAGCGTGGTTACAAACTACGCTTTTAATTAAGAAAGCGTGATTACAAACTACGTTTTTGAGTAAAAAAAAATTTTTCTTCAGAAAACGTGATTTCAAATTACGTTTTTACCGTTGAAATGCAAAAACATGTTTTTCATACAAACCAAACCAACCCACACTCTGACCCATACACACCTGCAACACAACACTCACGCACATCACACAATATAATTGAAACAAATATAATTTTTATATATAATAATAATTTATAATAATAAATAATAATCAATTATATAATTTTTGTAAATGTAAATCATTTTTAAGTTATGGATGGTTTGATTTATAATACGTATGTATGTAAGGGTAAAAATTTTTATAATCAAAAATAATTTTTACAATTTTTATAATAAAAAATAATTTATAATACGTATGTATTATTTAAATCTTTACATTTTTTATTTAAAATTTTTTACAGTAAACCCATCTTCACATTTTATAATACGTATGTATTATTCAAAAATAATTTATAAAAATTTATAATTAATACGTATGTAAATAATTTAATACGTATCTTCACATTTACATTTACAGTAAACCCATCTTCACATTTACATACGTATGGTTTAAGGGTAAAAATTTTGATAAATGATAAATCAAACCATCCATAACTTAAAATTTTTTACCTTTACATATGTATGGTTTAAATAATTTATAAAAATTATTGTCATACGTATGTAAAAATCGATTATAAAAATTGCAAAAATTATTTATAAATTGCAATTTTTAAACCATACGTATGGCTTGGTATAGGCGCGGGTTCAATCCACGCCAACTCCTATTTTTTTTTTTTTTTTCACTCACTCTATACTTTATATATTTATTATATAATTTTTTTATCAAAAAAAAGTAAAACAATTGTTTGGTTAACTAAAATTTTTTTCTATAAAATACACCCTTATTTTTATTTTTTGTTATTTTTTTTTTTTTTTTTTTTTTTTTTTTTTTTACTTGATATGAAAATTAGGGGGATTAAGGGGTTTTTTTTTCAGGGGGATGAAGCATGACCCGGGTGATATTGAAGGAACTCAATTAGGACATGTAGCAAGATTATGAAAAAAACCAAAAAGAGTGATACAGTAACTTGTACTGATATTTTTTCTTTAAAAAAATGAAGTTAAAAACAAAAAAAGAAAAATTGAGCAAGTTATTACCAAAATAATGACGTTATCCAACCCAAGAAGATGGCCTAGTGGAGGCATGGAATTTGGTGGAGGCATTTCCTAAATTAAGTCAAATTAATAATTTAATTCCTAAATTAAGTTTAGTTTGGAAGGAATTTTCAAACTAAGTTAAAGTGTTATTACAAACCACGCTTTTAATGTTTCTAGGATCCTCCCGTGAAAAATTTGTGAAATAGTAAAAGCGTGGTTACAAACTACGCTTTTAATTAAGAAAGCATGATTACAGACCACGCTTTTAAGTAAAATTTATTTTTTTTTTCAGAAAACGTGATTCTAAATTACGTTTTTACCGTTGAAATGCAAAAACATGTTTTTCATACAAACCAAACCAACCCACACACACGTGCAAAACAACACTCACGCACATCATACAATATAATTGAAACAAATATAATTTTTATATATAATAATAATTAAATATATATAATAATAATTTATAATAATAAATAATAATCAATTATATAATTTTTGTAAATGTAAATCATTTTTAAGTTATGGATGGTTTGATTTATAATACGTATGTATGTAAGGGTAAAAATTTTTATAATCAAAAATAATTTTTACAATTTTTATAATAAAAAATAATTTATAATACGTATGTATTATTTAAATCTTTACATTTTTTATTTAAAATTTTTTACAGTAAACCCATCTTCACATTTTATAATACGTATGTATTATTCAAAAATAATTTATAAAAATTTATAATTAATACGTATGTAAATAATTTAATACGTATCTTCACATTTACATTTACAGTAAACCCATCTTCACATTTACATACGTATGGTTTAAGGGTAAAAATTTTGATAAATGATAAATCAAACCATCCATAACTTAAAATTTTTTACCTTTACATATGTATGGTTTAAATAATTTATAAAAATTATTGTCATACGTATGTAAAAATCGATTATAAAAATTGCAAAAATTATTTATAAATTGCAATTTTTAAACCATACGTATGGCTTGGTATAGGCGCGGGTTCAATCCACGCCAACTCCTATTTTTTTTTTTTTTTTCACTCACTCTATACTTTATATATTTATTATATAATTTTTTTATCAAAAAAAAGTAAAACAATTGTTTGGTTAACTAAAATTTTTTTCTATAAAATACAAATTTTTTCAAAATGTCAACATAATTGTTTAAAAAGTATTCAGTATATTTGGTTTGAGTTTTTTGGATTTACTTATTTGAAAACTGAGTTTTTTGATTTTCGTTTTTTTTTGTTTTTATTTTAAACATTTTTTTTTAAACTTTTTTAGATGCACCTTAGTTATTTCTATCTAAAAAGTAAAATTTTTTTAAATAATTTATAAATAATTTTTGTAATTTTTATAATCGATTTTTACATACGTATGGCAATAATTTTTATAAATTATTTAAACCATACGTATGTAAGGGTAAAAATTTGCTATTATAAATTTATAAAAATTATATAGTTGATTATTATTTGCTATTATAAATTATTATTATATATATTTAATTATTATATATAAAAATTATATTATTTCAATTATATTATGTGATGTGCGTAAGTATTGTGTGTGGGGGGGGGTGTGTTTGGGTGTCAGAGTGTGGGTTGGTTTGGTTTGTATGGAAAATGTGTTTTGAAAACACGTTTTTGCATTTCAACAGTAAAAGCGTGATTTGAAATCACGTTTTTTGGAAAGAAAAAAAAAATTATTGAACAGCGTGATTTGTAATCACGCTTTCTTAATTAAAAGCGTGGTTTGTAACCACGCTTTTACTATTTCACAAATTTTTCACGAGAGAGGCCTGGAAATAGTGAAAACGTGGTTTGCAATAACGCTTTCCGTCCAAGCTAAACCTAGTTTGAGAAATAAATTGCTAATTTGGTTTAATTTGGAAAAAGCCCCAATTTGGTGCTATCAATTTTTTAGGACCAGGTCCATTTAGGGGTATTTTGAGAAATAAAAAAAAAAGTCAATTTTTAACTTTTTATCCATTTTAAATCACATCACTTCTTATATTTTTTACTCACAAAAAAAAAATTAAAAAATTAATTTTTTACTAACTTTATAAAATACCAATTATTCTATCCAAATTTTATCTGATTTATGTAGAGAAACGCTTTACGTACACCTGAATTAGTCATTAGTCAGTGTACGTAAGGGACCGGGCGTGTCCGATAAAATTAAAAAACCAAAACCAAAAACAAAAACAAAAACGACGTCGGCCAGCAATACTCACTCGATCGCTTGGCGGTTAAGTCTACCGGAAAATGGTCCTCTCAAAAGCCTAGACAATTAATTACTTGCGATTTAAAGCGTTATCAAACTTTCTCTCTCATTTTTTTCTCGGGAAAATCTCTGGTATTTCCATTCAGGTTAGTGGTTTAATCCCTGTATTTAGTTAGTCATTCTGTGATTTTTCCCTTCGTATTATCTGCTGAATTTGTCAATTTCATGTCTATAAATTAGGGCTTTTTTTTTTTTTGTGTCTTTCTCTTCTTCTTCTTCTTCATCTTCAATATGATCTCGATTTTGGCGGCTGAGATTGTTGAATTGCATGTATTACGATGTTTTTAGATCTTTTTGAAATAAACAATGTCGATTTTCATTCGTGTTTTATTAAACAATGTGAATGATTAACGTGTATTTGGCCAGTCCTGTGTTGGTGGGTTGGGTTTCTTTGCCTGCCTAGGTGTCCTTTGTAGTTGGGAAGTAAGAACATGGTTTGGTACTTTAAATGCATGAAAATGAATTTGTTCACACACTTTGGGAGAGTGTAATCAAAGCACAGAATCTGATTGGTCTGAAACTGTGGGCACTACATCTAAAAAGTTTGTGCTTTAAAATAGGGTTTGTAATAAGTTTTGAATTGCTCAAATAAGATTAATAATATACTATTTAAAATTTATTATTCTATAATTTTGATAATGTGTAAATTTATTGAGATATATTGAATCAATAATGCTATAATAATCATATTATGTGTCATATTTTGGGAGTTGGGGTTTTGTTATGCCTTTGAGGCACATTAGGGGGTGCTATCCACTTCATTGATGTTCACACCACACACATTTTTATGATCTCATGAATTGTTCATATCGTTTCGTTGAATAGATAATTCAAGTGGATTGTATATCAATAATCACAAGATCGAATTATATTTTTCTTTAATAAAAATTCAAGGCAAATGTGATTTTAAATTATAAGTCATCTATTTGTCTACTAATATTCAATCGAGTTGATTTTTTACCTAAATGATTTGTAACACTAAAATTTATAGTAGCTCAGATAAAAAAATTAAAAGCCAAATTTAGAGTGAATGTTTTTATTGGCCTACTTAAAAATTTACACTCAAGATTACATTATGGGGGAGACTGTTGTAAGCCAACTAGTCTTGTTTTTTACTTACCTTCTATCTATGTAGGACTGGTATGTTTATGTAGGGGATCAATTCTTTTGCTGGGCCAGACACATGCAAAGAACACATCATATAGATACATGCCTATGGAGTTCTAAATCTTTTGCAGGGGCCATCAAGGATGTATTATTTTGGGGCTGTGATTTTGAACTATGTGGAAATTTTGTTTGAATGGCCTATTTCTTCTAAATATGGGCAGCCTGACTGTCTCTCTCCATTTTTGGGCACAGTCTCTGTTCCTTGACCATGTAGAATGTTCAACCTAGTTTTTGGCGAAACCTCTCTACCATTATGATGTCCAATTTTTCCAATCCCCACTTCAACTAGGAAATCCTTAAAAAATTTATCTTCGGGTATTGTTATTTATAGGCACTTTAAATACCCAATTTAATTTGGTTTTATACACTCAGAATACAACAAACTTGATGGGTAGAGTCAAATGGACAATTCAAATTGGGCAGATAAGGTTCTTAGATGATATTGAATGCTACATCCTTTGTATTGTGCATTTTACATCTTATGTTGCAAATTTCAGGTCAATTTTATTGTTTATGAAAGCACAATAACTGAAAATTAACCTTTTAATGTATAACTCTTACACTAGTTGTAGTATGGCCTTTATGTGCATATTGTATTCTGCCTTGTTAAGTTATATGGTTATGAAAATGTTAATTCTGCTTTCATTGGTTTCTTTATCTTAACTTCTGATTCTTAGATTCACGTCATTCTTACTTTATTTATCTTCTCCATCTATTTAACTTTTTATCTAGTACTTGTCATTTGTGTTAGAAAATCTTACATATTCTATTTTTACCTGTGTTTGATAGCAATTTGCTCCAATTATGGATGCTGGAGACAAGAAGGATGAAGAATCAAGCCCATTGTTGGTAAAGTTTTCTTAAAATACTGATTAAAAAATATATGCTTATGAAAAGAAAGGTATATTTCTTATTACAATTTGATTAGGACTTAGGAGACAAGTACATGTTAATAGGTGTGGCATGTGCAAACATGATGAGGAAGCAGCCATTTACTTATCCATTGAGAGGTGGCGCATGAGCTGTGGTCTTTGAATCTTTCCATGTTTGGATTGCTTGGGTTTTCCCCGAGGGTGGAGGAGCTCTTATGCCAATGGAGAAGGACTTCTGTGGGGAGGAGGATGGAAATTATATGATTGGTTTGGGATGAGAAGAATAGAAGAACTTTCATTGAAGAAAAAAGTGCCTCTTTTGAAAATCAAGTGTTTTATTTATTTATTTTTTGTTTTGTATAGTTGGTTTTCGGGGATGATCATTCTATCCTTGAACCAATTTTTGGATCTTGTAGAGACCTTGAAATAGGTTTTCGATGTATAGTTGATACAGTTCTTCTTTTGCATACTGGTTGGGCACCCCATTGGATCATTTTTTTTTAATAAGATTTACTCATACTTGGAAAAAAAAAATGACATGGTATATGGCACAGTGCATGGAACAACTTAAAATGTGCAGATAACTATTCAATCCTCTTGCGTCTTACTGCTATGCTTCTGGCACATCACAGATGCATCAAGATTGACTGACTTTCTGGACCTCTGTGCTTGGAACTCCTCTTAAGCACTCCCCGTTATTCTGGGATATAAACTAGGCTGGAGGCCTTGAATTTTGGGGGAATTCACATATTGAAGAGGAATGCTAAATAAAGGATTGGAAATAGGATTAGAACCGAAAAACCCAATACTCCTGAAAGAGATTAATATTTGCCATCCAAGTTATGGAAGGTGATGTACAAGAATCATTTGATGCATAGGCAAGAGTTGGACAAAAATGAGTAGTTCAGGATTATATAATCAATGGGAGTCCTGAATAATTTGAAATTCCCCCGAGTCCAGACGAAAGCATTGGAACCGATAGCAAATTTATAATTTTTCTTCCTTATCTTTCTTTCTTTCTTTTTTCTTTTTTTTTTTTTTTTTTTGGTTTGATAACTTTTTTTTTTTTTTTTTTTTTTTTTGGTTTGATAACCCAAGGCACAACCCCTTTCTAATTAGATTAGGCACCTATGGGATCCCCACCTAGTTAGATTAGATACCGAAACCTGGGGTACTGAGATGCACCACTCCTCAGCACCGGGCAAAAAGCAAGAGTATTGGCTTCCCCACCTAGTTAGATTAGATACCGAAACCTGGGGTACTGAGATGCACCACTCCTCAGCACCGGGCAAAAAGCAAGAGTATTGGCTTCCCCGCCTAGTTAGATTAGATACCGAAACCTGGGGTACTGAGATGCACCACTCCTCAGCACAGGGCAAAAAGCAAGAGTATTGGCTTCACCAAGAGTTGAACTAGAGACTTGGAGGTTACAGCCCCCAAGTCTTACCAACTCAACTACACCCTTGGGTGCAACCAATAGCAAATTTTGATGACAATATCTGTACAGACAATGTGTCTTTCTGAAAACTTGATCATTTGGGTATTTTTTGAAACTGGCACGTGAACTTATCTTTTGCAGAAATATAACCTGAAATGCATTTGTTATAACTAGCCTCAAGATAAAGTTATTACCAATTGGCAATTGCAATTGACTGAGGATCTTAAAAGTCCCCATGTCTTACAGTTGCATATAGTTCTGACTTCTCATGAATTCTTGCACTAAGTCTTCGGAACAATTAATTTCTTTTCCGTGAATATAATGCATTTTGTTGGTTTAGGGATACTGTTTTTACCCTGTAAAAATTCTGTTAAGTTCTGTAAGCATTCCAACGTTGTTTTAACAGTGGCTCTTTTGTCAGGCAAACAATGAAAGCTTGAGAAATGGGCGGGTTATGCCACAGCTATTTACCTCGGTACCAGCTCTGAATGAAGCTGCTTCTTATCTTGTAGAGACAACTTCTTATATAACCGGCTGTTTCCCTGATTTTTCTGGTGATCCTCTCATTCCAACGTTGTTCTAACAGTGGCTCTTTTGTCAGGCAAACAATGAAAGCTTGAGAAATGGGCGGGTTATGCCACAGCTATTTACCTCGGTACCAGCTCTGAATGAAGCTGCTTCTTATCTTGTAGAGACAACTTCTTATATAACCGGCTGTTTCCCTGACCCAAGTGTGTTTTTTTGGGTCTTATTGAGATCCATAAAGTATGATTAATTTCCTGGAAAATGTTCTGAGCTTTGCATGCAGAGTGGAATTTTTCAATTCTAGCATGGCACGTCTTAAAATATTTTGCTTTTTGGGTAAACTATGTGCAGTTACTGTCAAAAGATTTGTGCTAAAAAAAAAAATTGGAAATGAATAATGTTCTTTATTTGCATTTTTGCTTTTATTTACTTGGAGATTTGTTCTATCTGTTAAAAAAATGGGGAAACTGAACATAAACCATGGGTAATTTCTGCTTAGGAAGTTCAGTGGTTTAGTGTTTCTTGCTGACCTAAAGAGTCACACTAGAAATGTTATCTGTTTTTTGGATAGAAAAACTCCAGTCTTCATTTAAGTGAGTGTCTGTCAAGCATTTGCTTCTTCAAGATTTTATTTTCCTATAATCATTCGCCCAGAGTTCACATTTTTTCACAGTTTTTGAGTTTCAAAGCACAGACTACAATGGTTCCAATTTGACCAATCAATTATTACTGATCTTTCTATGTTCAAGCTTTCCGAGGTGACTATGTACCTTGCTCACTAAGAAAATTTGAATATGTAACCAGGCTAGTTAAATTTTTTTGGTTGGAAGTCAATATTGCAACATATTAGCTTTTTTTATCTCATTTTTTCTGTTTGTTTACCTGTTTCGTAACGTTTATGTTTGCATTTTCCCATTTGTAACAAAAATTTTGAAAAATGTTTGCATTTTCCCATTTGTAACAAAAATTTTGAAAATGGGAAAAAAAATAATTTTGGTGTCTATTCTCATATCCAAAAAAAAAAGAAAAAGGAAACAGTTTTCTAAATTCTACACACAAAAAAAAAAAAATCTTGTTGTGTAAACAAATTTTCATTCCCTCATCCACCCTGGCCCCCGCTGGGAACCCCTCTGACAGCCTCCACAGAGTCCCCACCCTGTCCAGCCGCTGGCCATCACCTCCTGTCAGCGACCCCCCTCCAGCCACCCCCCTCATTTGTTTTCAAAACTATTTTTTGAATTTGTGTACCAAACATGTTTTTTTATTATTTTTTTTTTTAGGAAAAATAGACATAATCATGTTTTTAAAAAAATAAAAAACAATTCACCGTAAATGTTACCAAACACCTCCTAGTTTTGTTTTGGTTTTGTGTGTTTTTGTTTCTTCTATTTACCTTTTTTCCCTGCATTGTTTGGATATTGATCTCCTTATTTTTACCGTGGTGGCAACAGAGACTTCAGCTCGGGAATCATGTGGACAGGAGATGGTTACAATTGCATCTCAAGAAACCAGAGGATCTCTGGCTAGTAGTCACATGCCTTCAAGTAGAAGCCTTTCTGCAATTTCTGGATCATCTAATGCAACTGATGCTCCACATATACCTGACGGAACTTCAAGGAGGTCGGAAGGAGATTCATCTCAAAATGCTAATGTGGTCGTCCAATCAACTCAGACCAGCCAAAATGGCATTTCCATTTTCCAGGGGTACTGATTCTTTATATGATATGGATATCCTACGTGACTAGTAAGATGAAATATTAGCCTGATGGTGTAAATGCCAAAGCTAAAAGGGCCCAGTGAGCTTTATACCAAGATGTTCAATTAAGAGAAATCACTGGAATCCTTTTTTAGATATGTGTTTCACTATTATTAATGACTAAACTATACATGTCCACACTAACTACAATGTATTATTGTGTAAGCATTTATGATACACTTCCAGAAGGCCATTTGGTGGTGCATTGGCTTTTAATGAAGTGCTTTTGAGCTTTGTAGAGAAGAGTCTACCGTAAAGAGATTTGGTAATAGTTGTTACAGCACTTGATAAGAGCTTTTCACATCTTCTTCTATCAAAGCACCTTACACTTGAAAGTGCTTTTTGGAAACAGACTTAGAAACATCGAAGTGCTTTAAGGATGTGGCCAAACATATCCCAAAGCACTTCTAAATTAAATACATTGTAGCACCAAACAAGTCCAAATAAGGCTAAATAACATATTAACACGATAACATCCGTTCAGTCTTAGCTTTTGCTATTGCTTCACTAAAGGTAGATGTGTATTGTTTTCTCCTCTCCATCTTTTTCGTCTATTTAGGTCCTGTTTACGATACACTGAGCTCACTTTCTTTTTTCTTTTCTTTCTTTGAGACATTAATGGATTTTCTTAGGCCTTCATGTTTGCGCCATTCACAGTATGCATTACAAGTCGTCATTGCTAAAGCTGAACAACCCTTGAGCCCCTGATTTAAAGTGTCACCTTAAGCAAATATAGGGTATTCTGAATGTCACTTCTTATGCTGTGCATGATTGAGAGGCTAAGCAAGTAGAGTTGTTTGACATTTAATTTATGGTGGTTCGATTTATTGGTGAGGGGTATGACACTAGGTCCTTTATAGTACAAAAGTGAAATCAAGTTGCTTGTGGGTTCAGCTGTCAATTGGTTCCGAGGGAAGGGATTCAGAAGCTACAGTCTTTTCATAGGCAGAGTTCTTTGAATTTACAATTGTATATCCATTATTTAATGCATTAGCTAGATAATGAGACATAATGTGATTAATATCAACATCTTGAAGGCTCATCCATGTTCTGTTTTTGTTGAAGGCTATTTCTCAGATGATTTATCTCAAGGTTTTCGACGATTCATTATGCATTGTTTTGTAACATATTTTTTAAAATGCAGGTTTTGAGCTAAGTTGTGGGAAAACCTTTTCATGTTTATGTGAATTCGTTTTTGGGAAAATCTGATCAGTACTGGAATTTTACTCTCCTTTCTCAGAGCTGAACCATACAGTTAACTTATACTTCTAGGATTAATGAATGCTATTGGCAAAAGATGCAGGATAATTGAAAGTATTTTTGAAAATTTTAAAAATGTGAGCCTAAGTTGCTAATAAAGTAGATTCACTTCAAGTTCTGTGAGAATATATGATGAGTTTGTCTCCAATGCTTTTTAGGACGCAATGTGATGATCTCATTCTATCAGATAATAACCTTTGCTCTCTGTTTATCAATTAACCTCGGTGATGTTTAATTTCAGCCTGATTGAACGGGTACGGAAGACAGTTCAGGGGTCAACTGACGACATAGGATGGCTGCAACGTGCTCCAGAAATGCCTCCAGTTGAAGACGGAACTGAAAGGTTTATGGAAATTATGGATGATATCAGGTGCAATGAGTTGTTTGCCATTTCTATAGGCCTACATTTTCCTAGCTTGATTACACAGTTATTGATTGAGTTGCTTCTCCCTGTTATCAGGCATGGCCTACACAAGTTGCCAAATTCTATGGTTTACTTGTTGGTACCAGGTAGCAAATATTTTCCTTCCCTAAATAGTATCAAATCTTTTTTTCTTTCTCTTCCTTCTGTCATATGTGGAACACTCAGATGTATGTGGAAGATCATCTCTGATGTGTTCCTGTAGTGGGGTGTTTGAAGCCAAGTGACTTTTATGTGTTGGTATGCTTCTAATATTTGGGTTGGGGTGTTTCTTTCTTCTTGCTTTTTTGGTACATCAGAGGCTTTAGTCTCGGGGAAGGGGAGTCTTGCCTATGGCAAGACTTGTACACTTAATCTCCGAGTGAGGTACAGGGATTTTGGCCAACAGGGCCAGACCAAGTTGGTTGGATTGGGGTGTTTCAAGCCAAATGACTTATTTGGGTTGGACTGCTTCTAATCTAGTATCTTTTTTGTTATTTTGGTATTCTTCCAATCCAACTTCAGAAAAATATGATAGATTGCAAGTTTGGATTATCAGTAGATCATCTTTTTCATGAGATGGTATGCATTAGGCTGGTAAACATGTTGACTCCAACACCGCTAAGAGTCACATGTCATGATAATTAGATAATTCGACCAATAACCTTGATGATCTAACTTTTCCCAGGAGAACTAAATTGTGGGAGGCTGGGAGCAGCTTTTCATATTTTAGTTTCTGTATCAATTTCCTGCCTGGATTAAATCAATATTTTGATATTTTGTGGCGCAGTTTTGAATTTTCCAGTAAGGTATGTGGATCTTTTGGGAAATGGCTAAATTAATCAAAACATCTATTGGAAATACGGTTTTTACATACTGGACCTTTGCACTATTGGTTTGTTCTTTCACATTAATAATAAAATTCCGAGAAGGAAGTTCTTCAACTGTCTTGATCAGAATTTAATTCTTTTATATGGTTCACACGTGATGCAACTTGTATTGAATTGTTGTAAGATTTCTGAAGAATCTGTATATTCAATTGTGTTTATAATACAAGAGTACATCGCTTTATATAACAATCTAACCTAGGACTGAAAAGGAAACACGAATATTGAACCTAATATTCTCACATTTATATCCTCAGTAGTTTGTGTTCATCTTAATCTACAGGTCTTTTTAGCAACCATGGGCCGCTTTATTTTGTCAATACAAAAGCATATTTCTCAAAGATGGGTCTGGCCTGTCATATCGCCAAGATTCACAGTGAGGTATCTTTGATTATTCCAACTTGTGTAACCAATTGCTCATTATGTTCCATACTAAGTATAAGCTATTCAGGCTTCTGTTGAGAAAAATGCCAGAGAGATAAAAGATTACATTGAAGAGATCTATTGGGGTTCCGGGAAACGAGTCTTGCTTCTTGGACATAGCAAAGGGGGAGTAGATGCTGCAGCTGCTTTATCCATGCATTGGCCTGATTTGAAAGAGAAGGTTGCTGGATTAGCATTGGCACAGAGTCCATATGGCGGTAGCCCAATAGCTTCAGATATATTGAGAGAAGGACAGCTTGGGGATTACGTTAATGTACGGAAACTCATGGAGATTCTGATCTGTAAAGTAATTAAGGTATATATCCCTTGGTTTGACTTTGTGCTCTATTTTCTTCTTACTAAATTGATTTTGGATATTAATTTTCTAGCTGTGATTTTAGTATTTTTTGCCCCCATTCTAATATTATATCTTGTATTTGATCTATACTCTGTATTGTCTCTAGAAATCATTGTGGACATGAGTTCTCATTAGCATCATTCTCTGCAATCCTTGCAGTGTCTGAACAAACACAAACACACAGAGCACCATAAACCTTTTTTAAAGAGTGTGTTGTATTTCTAGTGTGAGTAAAATGATATTGGGTATTTTAGGAAACCACTATGTGATTTGCCAACATGTATTTTTTTTTTTTTCGATACATGAGAAAGAAAAGAGGAGGTAAGGGCTAAGCCCTCTCCCCTCGCTACACCTACAATATCAGCAACCAAAAAGCCGCGTATCTCTGCCGGAGGATCATTCACCACGAGCAGTTCTTCCGGCTTCTCTGCACCCAATTTTGCCATTGCATCTGCACATACATTTCCTTCATACACAAGGTTCTGAAAAGCGGTTGCGGTCGCCGTAACGGTGATGGTGGCGCGGTTGCGATTGCGGAGTGTAAAGGCCGTAGTGTAACGGTTGCGGTAACCGGAACCGTGAATTTTTTTATTTTTCGCACAATTTGAAAAAAACTTATCGATACGCATAGTTTTTTTCCATGATCATATTTATTGGGTTAAAAATAAATATTGATCAATTTTTGTAAATTTTTAAGTATGATCCAATATATTTGATATTTTTAAATCACTATAAACCGAGTTTTTTACATTTTATTTTAATAATTAATGACTTTATATTATACAAAAAATCAATCACTAACTATTATATATAAGATAAACAATGACAAAAGTAAGGGAATAAATAAGTGCCTAAATATATATATATATATATATATACATATTTTCACCGAGCCAAATAAATAATGACCACAATTATTATTATTATTATTTTCAAACAATATATAGATAGACACATACAAACAAAATGGTTGAGTGATAGCAGCTGAATAGAATAACATAGGTCTTACAGCTTCAACAAATCAATAACATGTTCTTCATCTTCCCTCTTCTCTCTCTCTCTATCTCTTGCTCCTCCATTTTCTCTCTTTATCTTCCCTCTTCTCTCTATCTCTCTTCCCCCATTTTCAACTTTTTTTGTATTTTTTCGAAAGAAACAGTTTGAAACCGTTACGTAACGGTGCGTAATAGGCCGTTACGGCTATTACTGCACCGTTACGACCGCTACCGCAGCCGCTACGACCGACACACTTGTGAATCTCAATCACACTGTAAAAGCGGCTGTAACGGGTGGCGGTAACCACCAAAACCGTTACGTAACGGCGTTACGTAACGGTTGCGGCCGCTTTTTAAAACCTTGCTTGAACCCTTGCTCCTTTATAAGAGAGGGCCTCCCTTTCCTTATACCAAGTTCAGATTTTTGGTCTAAGGCAAAGAGATATATCTCTCTCTATATCTCTTTATTTTGGGTTCAAAAAATGCATTGTTCTTGCACCTTTGCACACCACCTCATAGCCTAACCCTTCCACCATTGCTTGGAGCTTCATGGAGGCCATTTTCAGAGATTAAGGGGCTGGGATTTTGGTCCAGAAGTTGTTGGTCCACTACAAGAAAATACACAATTGGCGACCACTTTTGCCGACTAAAAATATTTTGGTTGCCAAAAGTTGTGGAATTGGCGACCAAAAATTATGTTAGTCAGTAAAAGTACAATATTTAGCTACTAAATTTTTTTGGTAGGGGTATATTAATTTTTGGCGACTAAAAAAAAATTAGTCGCTAAAAATCTCACAATTGGCAACTAAAAAAAATTTAGTCGCTAAATTTACCACAATTGGCGACTAAAAAAAATAGAAGAAAGTTTTACAGACTGATAGACCCCCGGCTCGAAGGCCACTTCTCGATAAAAGGTGCCCAAAAAGCCGCACAGTTGGCTGCTCGCTGCCTTAGCCGGGACCCAAAAGCCCGACCTCTGATGAGTGAAGTTGTCGAAGCGTTAAAGCCTCTGCCAAACCTCAAGGACATGGCCAGCTCATCATATTACTTCCAGACAATGCAGGCTGACCGTTCAAGTCCCAATGCTAGAAACGGTTTAAGAACGCATGTTGGGTCGTTTTCGAGGAACGGGCAGCAACATCCGAGGAGATTACTCCACACTAGAAGTACCTTAAATTTGTGTAAACTGTAGAAATTTAATGTATAAAGAGAAATAGAGAATTGTATTATTGATTGATATTTATGTTATGGTTACAATGATTCCTATATATAGGAGAGGGTGAGTGTGTAGTAGGTAATGAGTAGGTGAAGTGGAGGTGGTAGTGGTGTAGTGGGTTAGGTTTAGTGGAGTAGGTTTAAGTGGGTGAAGTAGGTGGAGAGTATGTGGATTTAGTGGGTTAGGTTTAGTGGAGTAGGTTTAAGTGGGTGAAGTAGGTGGAGAGTATGTGGATTTAGTGGGTTAGGTTTAGTGGAGTAGGTTTAAGTGGGTGAAGTAGGTGGAGGTGGTAGTGGTGTAGTGGGTTAGGTTTAGTGGAGTAGGTTTAAGTGGGTGAAGTAGGTGGAGAGTATGTGGATTTAGTGGGTTAGGTTTAGTGGAGTAGGTTTAAGTGGGTGAAGTAGGTGGAGAGTATGTGGATTTAGTGGGTTAGGTTTAGTGGAGTAGGTTTAAGTGGGTGAAGTAGGTGGAGAGTATGTGGATTTAGTGGGTTAGGTTTAGTGGAGTAGGTTTAAGTGGGTGAAGTAGGTGGAGAGTATGTGGATTTAGTGGGTTAGGTTTAGTGGAGTAGGTTTAAGTGGGTGAAGTAGGTGGAGAGTAGGTGGTGGGTTAGGTTTAGTGGAGTAGGTTTAAGTGGGTGAAGTAGGTGGAGAGTAGGTGGTGGGTTAGGTTTAGTGGAGTAGGTTTAAGTGGGTGAAGTAGGTGGAGAGTAGGTGGTGGGTTAGGTTTAGTGGAGTAGGTTTAAGTGGGTGAAGTAGGTGGAGAGTAGGTGGTGGGTTAGGTTTAGTGGAGTAGGTGAGGTGGTAGTGGTGTAGTGGGTTAGGTTTAGTGGAGTAGGTTTAAGTGGGTGAAGTAGGTGGAGAGTAGGTGGATTTTAACAAAAACTTACCATCAAAACTCAAATAGTATTCTAGAGTAAGTGGCGTCTCTGAGTAAAACCTATCGTCAAAACTCAAATAGGGACAAAACTAATCCCACAACCTACCGTCAACATGATGCAATATAACTTAAAATGACATCAACTAGCAATAATACAACTAACAACTTAAATAAAATAATCCGAGTTGTTACAGATTTGCTCATACAGAAACTATATGCATTTCTGCAATGGGTTGTTTACTTGTTTAACTTCACAAGCATGTGCAAGTCTCGCTTAGAGGACTGGTGATTGTAGTGAGGAAGATGGATGAAAATTTAAATTGCCTTCAGACATATCTAAAGAAACTTTATGGCTTATTAGTGAAAGGGCAGATTCCTTGGTCAGGCACACAACTATGAACAAATGCATTCACCCTATACAAGTTTATACTTCTAACATGCATAGCTATAATGAGGTGAAGATGTTGGAATGGATGTACGGTGAAGGAGAAAATAAAAATTTAGAAATGAATGCATTTATGGTTGGTAGATATAGCACACATTGGATAGGCTGAAGTGGTTTATCTGCAAAGGCAATCAACATTTTTGTCAGTGGATGGCAACTGGCATAGCTGGTAGTCTCTTGGTGTGGTATTCACTACGATTGAATCCCTACTTCATCCAGGTTGAGGCGTTAGGGTTAGGGTTAGGATTAGGGTTACATGAACTCTTCTATTTCTCCCGTAGTATTCGTGTTCACCAGATATGTCAAGGATAAAGGTGTGAGATATGTTTCTGACACCCATACCCAAATTAGACTCTTAAAGTTTCGAATTTTATATGAAGTTTGAAGAAGAATAAGCTCTCATTTGCTAATAAAGTAAATTTTATGGCCTCTCACATGAAAGATAGAATTTCCATATTTTCCCTTACTTCTATTTATTGCAAGTACACATTCATTATAATTTACATCACGTTATCTGATTGTACATGTGCAATTTATGTGTCCAAGACATATCCCTGTATCCATACATAACTTTTGGATACATATCCCAATATCCTAAGATTTAGGTTTAGGAAGGTCCGACGTCAGGACACACTTGGACCTGATACTTGTACTTGAATCCATGTAACATAGACCATGAGAACAAACGGGATGCTGAAAGGATGCAAGTCAAGGAGAGCAAAGACATGATGTATTATGGTTAAACAAATAATATGATCTTGGAAGAAGTTGTTCTTTGATGTTTGGAAGTCTTCCCCTATGGTAGTTAGGAATTTATGGAATATTGATGGACTCTAAAATAAAACAGTTTCTTTTTTCTCCAAGCCATTGGGAACAGTTTATGACATCATAGTGTAGTTTGATGCTTTTGTAAGACCTTAGAGAGTTGTTCTATGTGGGATCCCATGATGGTTTGATCAAAAGTGCTTTAGCAATGTCATTGGGTGGGCGAAGAGGCAAACTCTTGCCCTTGCTCATTGCCAATATTTTAGGGAGATCTTGGATAAATTTATTTCCCTCACCAGATCAAACAATGTGATAGTTTGGCCAAGAGAGGGGCACCAACTCCTAAATAAGATAGAGGTCATCTTTGCCCTCCTTGAGGATTGTCGTGTTTCATTGGTTGTTGGGAGCTATATTATTGTATCTCTTTTGTGTAGTTCTTTTCTCTCTGAGAAATGATCTTTTATCCTTTAGCCCTATGTTTTCTTCTTCTATTCTAATAAAATTCTGCCTTCTAATTGGGGTATATAAATTATTAAAAAAGAAAATAAAAAATAACGAAAGGGATGGTGAAACATGATTTTGTGTAGCCAATACCAAATGGCTAGGTTGTGGTTGTGTTGAATTTTGAGTTTACGTGCCATTCTCAATGATTCTGTGTTGTGTTATTCATAGGATCATTTTTTTGCATTTAGGGTATTAAAAGGTTTTTATCTTTTATGGTGGACCCTAAGAAATGAAGCAGGGGGTTCTCTTTCTTTGTTGTCAGTTGAGGACAGTAAATTACAGAAATTGTGCTTCAGATCACGGGGAAAGCCATACGAAACTATTTAATGACCAAGGATGTCATATGCATAGGAATTAAGTGGAGTTTAGCAATTGGTTTTTCAGTTGCACTTTTGCTTTTTTGCTTTTTTAGAATCTAAAAAAGATGATGCGTTTGATAATTGCTTTAACAAATAAAATAAAAAATTAGTGGAAAAGTTTTACCTTCTTAGCTTTGTTAGCTCATGCCAAACATGTGGTTGTAGTAGTTATACTCATATTAGCAATTTATTGCTCATTCTATTCTTTCATGTGAATCATCCATTTGACTGAACCAAAAAGATTCTAATTTCAGTATCTGTTTTGAAGGGTGACATGCAAGCTCTAGAAGACCTAACTTACGAGAAGAGGAAAGAATTCTTGAGGAAATACCATTTGCCTAGAGACCTTCCAGTCGTTTCATTCCACACGGAGGCCAGCATTTCTCCTGCAGTTCTGGCCACACTATCTCGAGTAGCGCACGCAGAGCTACCCATGGTCACCCCACTATCCGCGAGCCAACCCACCAAACTCCCGGTGATAGTACCCCTAGGCGCTGCAATGGCTGCATGCGCTCAACTGCTTCAAGTAAGGTATGGAGAAAAGAGTGATGGACTTGTGACTTGTCGTGATGCTGAGGTCCCTGGCTCGGTCGTGGTTCGGCCAAAGCGAAAACTAGACCATGCTTGGATGGTTTATTCTTCGTTGAACGAAGATCCTTCTGAAGCTGATGCCTCTCAAGTGTGTGAAGCTCTCTTGGCATTGCTCGTCGAAGTTGGGCAGAAGAAAAAGCATGAGCTAACCAGGAAAGATGAATAAAAGAGGACCCAATTCATTTTCATTTCATAATCATGTTGTTTTTATGTCATGTTTTAGCTTTTTTGCTGGATCAATATGTTTATTCTTTTGAAATTTGTTGTGTACCAACAATTTTGGATGTTAGGTATACCTTGTGTATATGTTTTAGGCTTTGGATCCATATGATATAGCTTCCTTTTTACATTTTACTAAGGCTGAGTTTGGTTTAGATATTTGGTGAGGAATTTAGAAAGAAAAATGAAAGGATTAATTGTGTGTGAAGGTTGTATGAATTAATCATGTACAAAACATTTGGGAGAGGTTATGAGACAAGTGCAGCTGTGCAGGTCCAGTCATTTTGGTAGTGAAATTGTGGTTAGCTTGAGATGTTATAATTACTACTGATACCAAAACAAATGTTTTAATTATTAATGAGTGACAGAATTATTAGGCCTGTTTGCTTGTTGAACTAGGTTTGATGGAATTATTAGTTGTTTTGGGAAGATAGAAAAAAGCAACTTATTTGCTTTTTTTTTCTTGTTTTTTGGTTTTTTCATAAATTCATTTGGGAAGTGTTTTTTATTTCTTATTTTTTTACTTTTTTGCTTTTTGTAAATTATTATAATATAGTGTTATATCATTTGTGTATATTGTGAAATTTTCATATTACCCTCATGTACATGTTTGAAATTACCATTTTACCCTCCTTGTTTAGTGGCAATTTTTGTTGATTTTCGTAGGGGTAGTTTGGTAAATTTGTGTCATGGCTTATTTTGTCTTCCAAACGAAAAAAATGCACCAAATAAGCAGCTTTTTGCTTATTTGGAAAAGCGAAAAAACTGTTCGGATTATTAGTATGGTGATATTAGGTTGAAGATGTAAGATAAATTGTGCATATGTATGCACTAATGTGATGGTATTGGTTTGTTAAGATTAAATTTATAAAATTTTGTTAAAGTTCTCATTATTAAAAAAAATTAAATTTATGAAATTTTATTTTTTTTATTTTTTTTTGGTGTAAAATGAGGGGCAATAAGGTCTTTCACTTCCAAGCTCATGGAATTAAATTAACAAATCTAAATTTCCTATAGAATTGCTAGTCCCATTAGAGGGTTTATATCTCTTGTGACTTTTAATCCCATGCTGTTTTTTTAAACAGTATTTGTGGTTTCCATTTTACTAGTAATCCCAACACATCCTTCATCTCTAAAAACAAACAAAATCTTTAAAAAAAATTCTTTAATAAATGTTAAGGTTCTAAATAGATTACCACAAGTTTGGCTAAGGACAAAATCTAAAACATTGCAATTTTAGCCCTTATTCACAATAGTGATGGGTTCTAACCTATTACTTGGTGTGTCCATTATTGCGAGTATGTAGGCCCTATATTTCATTGGGAAATAATTTTTTATAGAATTTAGATGTCCCTATCATTTTTGATGCACGTGAGTAAAGATATTCAAGTGAAAGGAAATTAATTTAGTACGTAAATTTTTATATGTCAATATTTTTACTATATACATCTAAAATTTTAAGCATTGATACACAAAATAAAGATATCTACACACTAAGGCCTCGTTTGTCAACTATACATTTTAGTTAAAAAGTTGAAAAGTTATTCTAAGTTATCATATCACTCTCTTTACTTTTCTGTATATTTTTTTATAAAAAACTAAAAAATTACTAAAATAATATATTCTCAAACGAGACCCAAATTACTTTCTTTTTTACATGGGAGTGTGTTTTGTCTCTACTATTGTTGATAAAAGGGTTTTGATGATAGGTTCCTCAATCTCTACTTTTATTTGAATAAATGGCAAGTTAAAAAATAAAAATTCACTGAGGACAAAGATTAAAGAATGAAAAAAATATTTTCAATTGAAATTTCACTAACCTTTTTTCCCACCAAATCACACACCACCACCATCACTAGCCACTGTCTACGACTATTATTTTTTAATTATTGACTGTTGATGGGGCTTTAACGAACATTTCTAGCAAGAATTTCTAGTGATCGTTTTTTGATGACACTCTACATCATTTTCCAACATCCCCTTCCTCCTCGTAACCTATTTTGGCCACCACCTCGAGAGGCTCTCCCCATCATTTTCAAAAATAAAATAAAATGAAAAATAACAAACACAATCAAATAATTATCATTTTGTGCCTCTCAATTTGGTATTTTTAATCCTCTAGATTGAAATTATTGTTTATCAATTTTGTATGTTATAGTCTACAAACAAAAAGGTATCAAAAATTAATATTTGTTAATGTAAATGCATGAATTATTAAGATACATCGGTAGTAAAATTTGTCATTTAATAAGGTTTTTGAAGTTCCAACTCTAATGAATTGTCATCTCATACTTATCTTAATAATGTTTAGTTGGTTTTAAACATGGGGTAGTGCATATATTCTAACAATAGTAAGGTTTCATAAGAAGTCCAACATCTCATTAGTTGAGAAAGGGATAAAAAAAGTCATAAAAATTAATGAAATTTCACTCTTTTTTTAAATACTAGTAGGGTGCATATGCGTTGTACGTGATTTTCATCTAACATAATATAATGTAATGTAATTAGTTTTTAAAAGTTCTTATTACTTATAGTTGTCCTTATAGTATAGAAAAACAAACTTTAAAATAGAATGAGTATACTAAAACGATGCACCCCTTTGTAGGTATATTATATAAATAATTTAGCAAAATCGTGAACAAAATATAACTTACATAGACTTTAAAAATATAATAAATAAGTTTTTAAATACATAATATTGCCAAAAAGGAGGAAAAAGAATAAACGACGAATAAAGTGTAGTAAACATCCTACATAATGAGAAAGATAACATTATTCATAAGAATCATTCATGTTCATGCAGAAAATGTGTGAAATTTATTTTATAAGAAAGTGAATTTTACCTTAATGTTTCGATCCATATAGAAATTGCATAAGTAATTTCTTAATATTTATAAACCCATTGTTATGAATATATTCAATTTTATTGTCAATTTACATTCTCAAAATCTTTTATACAAATCATAAGTAATTATATGTTAAAATTTATCAAAGAATTAATGTAATGAGCTTACTTTTGCACTATTAAGTTGTGGTCATAATGTTTTGCCATCATTTGATTTATCGCTTTTATTATTGTGAGTAATATGTGTATTCGAATAGAAAATATAAAATAATAATTTTTGTATGCAACCATATCGAATCACGGAGAGAGAATGAAAAGAATTTGTCATGAAGGCAGAGTTTGTTTATGTATTAAACTCTGCATACTTTTTTTTTTTTGGATAAATAAAAGTATGTCGATTGTAAATTGTAATCGGTGCACTTGTTTGAGTCTAAATTTAACCCCTTTTAGATTATCTTATTCTATATTATATATATATATAAATAGTGACCATATTTTTTTGAGCCAATTTGATAAGAGATATAAATAGAGACCAATTCAATTGAAAATAATGTATTAACTAAACCTTAAAAAAAAATATAAATTAAAATAATAATAAATGAATAACAGAAAAAGATGCGATCAATCTTTTTGATAACTGTAATAAATTTAAATTTTGAATTTGAATATGATTGTAGAATAAATTATATATTTATAAATGATTAAATTGGAGAGTTTAATTTCTCATTCACTTTTTGAATAAATTAATGTTTTTTAGGAAGGTAGTTACCATAGCATGGTTTCAAGTGAATTTTAAACCCATCTCAAATCCAATTTTTTGAAAAGCATTTGAGAAACTCTCAAACTAGTCACGCTGAGGAGGTATTGCTCGTCAGTGGCGATGTGGTACTTGCCGTAACAGCTTTTGAATTGGATGACAATGTCAATGCTATCACCTTTGAACCTTGCGGCAGCCCTTCACCATTGATAAATACCTTTCCTCTCATGCACAACTTCCTCTCTGCTCACTCACAACCGTGTTGTCTCCACCTATCACAACCTATTAAGACATCTCACCTTCACTTGAGATATGAACTTCAACCATTGTCAGAGGCAACCAGTTGATGCAATTTCCTTTAGCAATTTCTTATCAAGTATTAACCAAACCCTCACCAACTAATTTGCAACCTATGCTCTGATGCAACCATTCATACCTTCAATTATTTTCTCTCTTTATATTCAGCAAATGTGTTTTTTTTTTTTAATTTTTTTTTATGTGGTGAAATGGGTGATAAATGGGTGTATGGCAACTTGGCAAGAAATGATATTACGCTAGCCATGTGTGAAGGAGGAAAAAGGCAATGGCGGGAAAGGACGTCGTCAAACATGATGCTTACGAGAGACAAAACCATTACTTTTTTTCTTCAATGCAATCTGAACCGTTAAATAAACAAAATGATAAAGTGCATCATCTCATTTACAAGACTGGGATAGCCCAATTTTTTAGTAAACTACAGATAAGCCACTCTCTTGTTATAGTAGTAGATAGATGGAAGCAACGATTTGTACATACCTTTTCATTCAATTGTGGCAATGCTTCATGCTTGCCGTTTCATTCAAATGCAATTATAAAAAAGTATTTTCAAAGTTGAAAAGTAGTAGAATCATTCATATTATGATATTTGAAAGTGTCGAAGAAAAGTAGTAGAATTATTAAAGAAATAATTATATTATGATGTTTGAAGGTTTCATACTTGCCATTTCATTCAAATCCAATTATAAAAAAAGTATTTTCGGAATAAAAGAAAAGTGAAAAAGAAATAGAATTATTAAAAAAATAATCATATTATGATGTTTAAAGGTCTAAAAAAAAGGTAGAAAAGTAGTAGAATTATTAAAAAAATAATCATACTATGATGTTGTTGGCTTTTTGGCTTTTCGAAGGGTATTTTTGTGAATGTGAGCGTGCCAGCAAGGATTGAAAAATCCTTACAGATTAAATTCAAGCCAATTATCAAGCGATTGTGTTGACGGTTCTTTTGCCTCAACGAAGAGGACTTCAAGATTGCCAAGTGTAAAGAAAAGAAAAATTAAAAGAAGAATGGGGAACGGAGAAAGACGATTGAGTGAACAATCGAAGTAATAATTACTTACCTCTACTCCTATGCTTCGAAAAGAAAGTGCATAAAATGCTTCGAAATGGAAATACTGAAAATAAATGCTTCGAAATATAAATCTATGTTAAACTACTCCTAAAATAAGGAAAATGACAAGAAATATTGAAATCAATTGTCTTTGATTTATGTTCTGCCCCTTACAATGTAGCCATTAATGGCTATTTATAAAAGAAAAAATACAGCAATAACTACTTAGTAACTACCCATTTCTTCCATCTTCATTCTTGTCTTGCCATGTGTCATTCCACTCATCCACTTTGTCCTCCCACTCACCCACTTTATCCTTCATATTCTCCATTATCTCTATAACTTCTTTTAACTTCCAAATGAATAAGAGGATGCCACGTCTCCTGCAATTATATAAATAATAAATAATAAT